AAAGCAGACGCCCAACCACTGAGCCACCCAGGCATCCCATAGTTTTGAAAATTTCTTATTGTCATATTCTCAAGTTCAGAGATTTTTTCCTCTACCACATCCAGTTTACCAGTGAGCACTTCAAAGGCATTCTTCATTTCTGTTTCAAGTTTTTGATCTCTAGCATTTTTTCAAAAGTACATGCAAAAAAATTTTAACCTGAAAAATCTAAATAATAATATTAAATCATCTATTCATGTGCCCAACACCAAGCTTAAGAAATAGAACCTAATCAGTACCTTGGAAGTCTCCCATATGCCCCTCCCCTCTCACTTTTTCCTTGAAAGTTACCTTGAAGGGGATATGAAATCTTGGCCAGGAAACTGAAGGACTTGGGACTGCAATAGTGTTTTCATTATTTTTTCCTACTCTGGGTAGAACTTTAGGAAGGGAACAATCTGGAAGATAAGTGGCTGAAATTCTGTTGAATTTGTGTTTCTGGACCATGACTCCTGTTACTAGAAAGAAGGGCCTTTGCTAGAATTGAAGTATTTCTTAGGAGGCCTGGGAAGAATATGATAACTCTTAGCTTGGGTCATCTTCAACCAAAATCTAGCATTTCTTTTTTGATTCTTAGAATCTCCACCTCTCTGCTCACAGTATCCATCTGTTCTTGCATGTTGTCAGTTTTTCCATTAAAGCCTTTAGCATATTACTCATTGTTTTTTTCTTTTTTTTTTAATTCCTGGTCTGATAATTCCAACATCCATGCTATATCTGACTCAGGTTCTAATATTTGCTCAGTCTCTTAAAACTGTGTTTTTTAATATAATTTCAATTTAATTAACATATACTATATTATTAGTTTCAGAGGTAAAATTTAGTGATTCAGTTGCATTCAACATGCTGTGCTCATTCTATCAAGTGCCCTCCTTAATGCGCATCACCCAGTTATCCCATTCCCCCACCCCCTTCCCCTCCAGCAACCCTGTTTCCTAGAGTCTCTAATGGTTTATCTCCCTCTCTGTTTTCATTTTATTTATTTTATTTTATTTTATTTTGTTTTATTTTATTTTATTTTATTTTTCCTTCCCTCCCCCTATCTTTTTTTTTTAATATTTTATTTATTTATTCATGAGAGACGCAAAGAGAAAGAGGCAGAGACACAGGCAGAGGGAGAAGCAGGCTCCATGCAGGGAGCCGGACATGGGACTCAATCCCCTGTCTCCAGGATCACTCCCTGGGCTGAAGGCAGCGCTAAACCGCTGAGCCACCGGGGCTGCCCCGTCCATCTGTTTTGTTTCTTTCTCACATATGATTCAAAATGGATTAAAGACCTAAATGTGAGACAGATATCCATCAAAATCCTAGAAGTGAGCACAGGTAGCAATCTCTGTGACCACAGCCACAGCAACTTCTGCTAGATACATCTTCAAAAGTAAGGAAAACAAAAGCAAAAATGAACTATTGGGGCTTCATCAAGACAAAAACTTTTGTGCAGAGGCGCTTGGGTGGCTCAGTTGGTTAAGCATCTGCCTTCTGCTCAGGTCATGATCCCAGGGTCCTGGGATCGAGCCCGGCATCAGGCTTCCTGCTCAACGGAGAGCCTGCTTCTCCCTCCGCTCTCCCTCCCTGCCCCCCTCCCAACTTGTGCTCATTCTCTCTCACTTGCTCTCTCAAATAAATAAATAAATAAATAAATAATCTTGAAATGCCGTTTATTATTTTTTTAAGATTTTATTTATTTATTCATGATAGAGAGGCAGAGGGAGAAGCAGGCTCCATGCCGGGAGCAGATGCGGAACTCGATCCCGGAACTCTAGGATTGCACCCTTGGCCAAAGGCAGGCGCCAAACTGCTGAGCCACCCAGAGATCCCCTGAAATGCTGTTTTAAAAAAAGCTTTTGCACAGCAAGGGAAACAGTCAACAAAACTAAAAGGCAACCTGGCAATCCCTTGTAATTTTTTGTTGGAAGGTAAACATGATGTACTGCGTGAAAGGAACAACAGTACAGAGACTTTAGTAACGTAGTGGTTAGATGTGCAGGTGGAGGAAGCCTTCTGGAGTCCGATAGTCCCGTCTCAGTCTTTCGGGAAGTCTGCGAACTTGACCAGTGCATCTTAATTTTGTTTTGTTTTGTTTTGTTTTCCCATTAGGTGGGACAAGATGGCTAGAGGGGGCTGATGGGGCTATTTCTCTTCCCCCAGGTCAGTTAGGCTGTGATAAGACCCCAGCAGGTTAGGCTCTCCTAAAATAGTTTGTCCTGAGGGCAGGCCTTGCTGAGAACGGAATGCTGGTGGGTGTGTTTCAAGATGGTTCCTTTCCCCCTTCTCCTGCTGAAAGCATGAGATTTTTCTACAGCATTCACTGTGAGGACCTAACGAGCTCCTGAGTGAAATTCACATGCAAAAAAAAAAAAGAAAGAAAGAAATTCACATGCATGTGCTGATTCACATGCATGTGTTGATTCCCCAACAACTGGGTCCCCCCAGAATGTTTAACTCTCAGAGGTGGCCACACCGAGTCACCAGCAATTTGTCAGTTACATTTAGGTTTTCCTGCATTGGCACTGGTTCCCAGGGAGGCTTCTGCTGAGGAAATTGTAATCCACCCCCTCTCCCTGCAATTTGGGGGGCAGTGGTTTGTCCTGTGACCTCCCTGCTTGGATAGCTCTAAGAAGAGTTGTTGATTTTCTAGTTTGTTCAGCATTTTACTTGTTCTTAGGACAGAATGGCAACTCCTGAGCTCCTTATGTGCCATACCAAAACAAGAAGTCTGTTTTGTTTTGTTTTTAAATCAAATTTGGAGACAAAATTGATTAAGATTTCCTCAACATGTTTTCTATTCCTGCACTCTCTTCTCTCCTTCTGGGACCTCAGTTATACTTAATACTCTCCCACGAATCATTGAGGCTCTGTTAAAAAATTTTTTAATTTTTAATTTTTTTAGGTTATCTCTACCCCCCACTTTGGGTTTTAACTCATGACCCCAAAATCACGAGACGTGCACTCCTCCAACTGAGCCAGCCAAGCGCTCCAGACTCTGCTAATTAAAAAAAAAAAAAAATTTTTTTTTTCCTCTTTGTGCTTCATTTTGAGTTGTTGCATTGACTTGTCTTCAAGTTAACTGATTCTTTTTTCTGTTATGGCCAGTCTTCTGTTAATCCCAGCTAACGAATTTTTTTATTTTAAGTATTATCCTTTTCATTTCCAGGATTTCCATCTGATGCTTTTTCAGTTTTCACAGATCTCCTGAAAGTCCCCATCTCATCACCCATTATATCAGTTCCACTACATTCTTTAACACACTTACCACAGATATTTTATTTTTTAAAGTTTTTATTTAAATTCCAGTTAGTTAGCAGACAGTGTATTATTAGTTTCTGGTGTGTACAATAGAGTGATTCAACACTTCCATACATCACCTCTAGCTCATCATGACAAGTGTGCTCCTTAATCCCCGTCAGCAATTTCACCCATTCCCTCCTTCTGGCACCTACCTCCCTTCTGGCAACCATCAGTTCAGTTTGTTCTCTATGGTTTAGAGCCTGTTTCTTAGTTTGCCTCTATTTTTCTTTCTTTCTCTCTGTCTTCCTTTTACTCATTTGTTTCTTAAATTCCACATAAGAGTGAAATCATATGATATTTTTCTTTGACTTATTTCACTTAGCATTATAGTCTCTAGCTCTATTATCATTGCAAATGGCAAAATTTCATTCATTTTTATAGCTGGATAATATTTCACTATATATGTATGTGTGTAGTGCTCGCTTCGGCAGCACATATACTAAAAGAATATGTGTGTGTATGTACATATGTACATATACATATGTAATATTTCACTACATATGTATATGTATATACAAACAGATATGATATATATATATAATATATGTATAATGTATGTATAACCATATCTTCTTCATCCATTCATTAATCAATAGACATTTAGGCTGTTTCCATAATTTGACTATTTAGATAATGCCACTACAAATATCAGGATGCAGGTAACTCTTTGAATTAGTATTTTTGTATCCTTACTGACTAAATATTTAGTAGTGCAATTGCTGGATCATAGAGTAGTTTTTTAACTTTCTGAGGAACCTTCATACTGTTTTCCATAGTGGCTACACCAGTTTGCATTCCCACCAACAATGCATTAGGGTTCTCCTTTCTCTGCATCCCCGACAACACCTGTTTTTCTTGTGTAGCCATTCTGACAGGTGTGAGGTGATATTGTAGTTTTGATTTGCATTTCCTTGATGATAAATATCACAGGTATTTTAAGCTTTATGTCTTGCTCATTCCAACATCTAAGTTGGCTCTGGATCTATTTCTACTGACTTATTTTTCTTTTGGTCGTGAATCACATTTTCCTATTTCTTCACATATCTAGTAATTTTTATTCCATTCTGGACAATGTAGATAATAAAGTAAAGAGAATCTGGATTCTATTATCTTCCTCTGAAGAATGTTGATTTTCTTCAACATTTGGTCTAGAGTGTGGGCTGGACTTCATCTTTGCGACTTTAGTTCATGGACCATCCAAGGATTAGAGAGTATTTATGTAGATTTCTCTCCCCTGCTGTGGCTCCCTGCTTTCCAGGATTTCCGTTCAATTTCCTCCTCCTTTGGCAGTCTTCACTCCAACATGTAATTCTTCAGCCCAATAAGACTAAAGCTGCCTGCTTGAGCTATTTGCCAGGCTGAGGGAGCTGGAATGTGCCCTCAGGGGAAAAGGTGTGTGTGTGTGTGTGTGTGTGTGTGTGTGTGTGTGTGTGTGTAACTCCCTTCTTTCAAAGGTCAAAAAGCCTCCAGTTTCTGGTTTATTTTTATTATGTTCCATTGCCTTCAAATTATGGTTTTTTGCATTTAACCTAGTGTTAATCCAATACTGGCCACGCTCTATTTCTCTGTCTTTTAGCTTCTCCCAATCTCTCCTTCCCTCTTTCCGCTCTCCTCCCCTCCCCCTCTTTCTTCCTTCCCTCTCTCATTGCTTCTACCTCTGTCTCTCCTTGCAGGGAGAACCTGGCCCCAAAGGAGACCCTGGGGAGAAGAGCCAATGGGTAAGCTCCAGCTGAGCACAGACCTCCCACTGACCCCTCCTGCCCTGGGCACTCAGGAGATCATTTGGAGGAGGGGGGTACCTCATTCAAATCCCCCCTGCAACCTGGTCTTCTGGGAAGGAGTCTTGACAGATCTCAGCTCTAGCCTCCTCCTCATCCTGTCCTTCCCAACCAGGCAGGGCCAGCCTTATCAGCAGACCCCACGCTCTCTGTCTATGTCTTCGTCCCTGTCTCCCCCTTCCCTCTGTGGCCTTTCCAAGCCCGGGTGACCCTGCCTGTTCCTACTAGATGGTTTGGGCTGACCCAGTCCAGACTGCATCCTCTGTCTCCATAGCCCCTTCCCAGCTAGGGCTTTGGCTTCTACTCTGTCTGCAGAAGAAAGGCAAGCATGAAAACAATATCCACAGGGGGCCTTGAGAAAGTTGTGAAGTGTAGGAAGGGAGGCATAGCAACAGTGAGGTACACTAGGTAAACGGGACAGGGGATCAAGAGACCACCGTACACATAGGAAACCCATGGATCATGGGAAGGGAGACCTAGAAACCATTATTTATACATCATACATGGTAAATGAGGTAGGGGACCTAGACTCCACTATTCTCAAAAGAGCTATAATTAACACGAGGTCCCAGACACCATCACATACATAGGAGAGCCGTGGGGAGTGGGAGGAGAAGCCTAGAAATGATCATTTACATGAGAGAAGCATGGAAAATGAGCTGAAGGGTTAGAAACCACTATAAACATAGGAAGTCCATAAATATTGAGAAGAAAGGCCTAGAAACTGTCACATGCACAGGAGACATAGCATATATGAGAAAGGGGACATAGAAACCACATGTGGGATCCTAGAAACCTTTACAATCATTGGAGAGAGTTGCAGTGAATCAGTTCCCAGGCCTAGAAATCTGCCCACCCAAGTGATGCATGGGAGGAGAACCAAAAATCCCAGAATGCAGGGACCTGGGAACTATTAGGACACAGACATTTGGAAAATGGGTAGGGTGGGGGTAGACACCCCTACAGGAAAGAAAACTGAAAAGCTATTCAGGAGGCTGGTATCATGCCTCCCTTTCTCCCAACCCCTCCTTGGTGCAGTCTGGTTGGGGTACCCTACTTCCCAGCAGGCACTAGTTAATGACATGGGATACACCTAAGCGCCTGCCTTGCCCTCTCTGCTCCTGATTGTGGGGTCAGTGATGGATACAGCCGTGGGAGCCCCTCACCCTGCACGAGTCCTCCCCCCCACCCCCCGTGTCTTCCCATGACTTCTGAGGCCCTGCTACCTCTCCGACAAGCCTCTCCCAGCCCCTCACTGTCACTCTACTCCCCACACACCCCTTCAACCCCAGTGGCTCCAGAGCCTCTTAAGCACACTGCCAGTATGGGCATGAGCTGGGCTGGGGGTCAGGTAGACCTGTGTGAACCCAGCCCATTGCTCCTCTAGGCCCCTTCACTGGCCACTCCCACTCCAGGAACATGTTTTCTACCCAGCCCAGGAGAGTTAGGAGAGGTGAAATGAGGCTGAATTAGACTATGCAGCTCCATCCCTGCATGGGGATTCCAGGAAGAGAATGGATGCCTGAACTGTTCCAACCCAGGCCTCTAACTCAGGACCACCTGTGGGAGGGGCTGCCCCAGAGGTAGCAGGGCCCTTGCCCATCCTCCTGCCTCCTGCCCCATTGCCCACCTGTACTTCTGCCCCTGCTTGCCACCTGCTTGAGGGGTCCTGCTGGGCTGGGGTAAGCATGAGGCTTTGGAGACTGGGGAACCAACTCTGTTGGGGTAGGTGGGAATGATGTCAAGTGCGGGGAAGGACCCTGAGGGGGCTACTCTCCTACTAACCCCCAGGTAGACCTGAACCACTGGCCAGACTGGCTCAGCAGTGACACCCAGTGGTCATGAGCATGAACTGCAGGCACTGCCCAGAGTGACTGAGCTGAGCTGGCCCATCTAGACCAAAGCTCGTACCCCCTTATTCGGACAGGAAAAACTGAGGTCCAACTCCTGCAGAGCAAATTGTTGGCAGAGTGGAACTGAAGCCCGGGATTTTCAGCTCCCAGGACCAGGGAAACCATCCCCTCCTCGGTGGGTGCCAGGTCCCAGGCTGGGCACTGTAGACATAGATATGATTTGGACAGTCCCTACCCTCAAGGTGGGTCACAGTGGGATGGGGGGATCAGACCAGTAACCAGTGGCCACAGGAGAGAGGGAGCTCAGCTGTGATGGCAGAGGATTTAGCATCCTCCTGGAGAAGATGAGGACTGAGGCCTGAAAGGTGCATTAACCAGACAGAGGAGAGAGAACATCATGTTCAAAGGCCTCAGGGCGGGAGTGAGCCTGGTGTGTTCAAGGAGCTGCAAATACTTGGCCTGGTACAGTGTGACAGTCAAGGGGTGAGACGGAGGCCAAACAGGCTTTCAGGACTTAAGAGGCCACATTGAGGAATTTGAACTTTGTTCTGTGGACAGTGGGAGTCATTGAAGTATTAACAGCAGGGAAGGGACACAGAGTTTTGTTTGCAAACAGCTCCTCTGACTACGGGTGGAGAAAAGACAGAAGGGAGCAACACGGGAGAAGCAGAGAGACAGCAGGAGGGAGTCTGTTGTGGTCATCCAGGCAAGAGACCAGGGGGCTGGAACTGGAAGGGAGAACAGTGAGGATGGATGGATGTCAATGGATTAAGAGATACTTGGTGCTAGTTTGGCTGTAACAGAGAGTGAGAAGTTAGGCAACCTTTACAGTAGAGAGCCAGGAGAAGTTGCCCTACTGGGTTCTGTCCAAGGAAAGTGGGAGCTGTCTGTGTTAAAGCTGAGTGGGGGTGTTCAGCAGGCCCTGGACACTCAGTCCAGGCCAAGAGGGGATTGGGGGGTTATCAGCACAAACAACAGGCCACTCATCTTAGAAGGGATCCAAATAGCAGGATTTTGTTTTTCATTTTTTCCTCCAATTTCCTTTTTTGTTTGTTTTTAATAAAGATTTTATTTTTAAGCAATCCCTACACCCAATATGGGTCTCAAACCTACAACCCTGAGATCAAGAGGCACATGCTCTACAGAATAAGCCAGCCAGGCACCTCTCTTCCAATTTTCATTGGGGAGATGTTCAAATATGCAGAAAACTCAGTATAATGAATATCATTCTGCCTTCCTGTAGACTGACCAACTATTAGTATTTTGCCACATTTGCTCTTTCTCTTTATTTATATTTATAGACTTTTTAAAAATCTATTTGAAAGTAAGCTGCAAACCCCATCCACATTTCCCCTAACACATCAGTGTGTATCTCAAAAGAATATGGACATTCTCCCAAAAAGCCCCAATACAACCCACCATCACATCTAAGAAAGCAGACATTAATTCAATGAAATGATGACATCAAGTTCTGTATCACTTAACTTATATCAAATTTTACCAGTCATCCCCAAAATGCCTTTCTTAGCTTTTTTTTTTTTTTAATCTAAGATCTAATCAAGATTCACACATTGCATTTGGTTGTTCCATCTCTGGTGTCTTGTAATCTAGAACAGCCCCTGTCCTTTGTTTTTTTAGATTCCATCTATTTATTCACAAGAGACACAGAGAGAAAGGCAGAGACATAGGCAGAGAGAGAAGCAGGCTCCCTATGGGGAGCCTGGTGCCAGACTCAATCCCAGGACCCTGGGATCACGACTTGAGCTGAAGGCAAATGCTCAACCACTGAGCCACCTAGGCGTCCCTCCCTGTCCTTTCCTACTTTCTCTTGACTTTGTCTTTTTGTGAATATTCCACCATCTAGATTTGTCTGATCATTTCCTCGTGATGAGATGCAGTTAAATGCTCTCGGCAGGAGCAGTAGTGGAGGTAGTGCCTTCTTATTACATCTTACCAGAAGGTTCGTGATGTCAGCTTGTCCCACTGCCCATGCCGGGAGGCTTAACATAATTTTTGAAGGTCATCCATTTTTAGATCCTGCTCCTGTAATACTTGAAGAAGGATTACTTTGGTGTGTGGCCCATGGTGACCCTGTGGCTCTTCGGCTGCAGTGGCCACTTAGTGGCCTGAGGGTAGCGCAGTCCTTATGCTGTGGACAGGACACCCGGGTTACAATGGACAGTCCCAGCAATGCCACAGCAGGCTCACAGACATGGTGGACGGTCTCTCGGCTGTTAGATGTTTTGGTGAACTGTAAAGGGTTGGACCTCTTGTAACAATGTACATGTTCTGGCCCTCTGTTCACTTAGTCTGTACGAAGTAAAGGATGCCGAGAGAGACTCCCAGATACGTCAGGGCTGGAATAGTTCTTGCTGTCCTGGTGCTCTGTTGGAATTACCATATCAACATTCCGGAAATAGCTTTAGTCTGGACCAGGAGAGAGGAAGAGTGAGGGAGTGAGGAGGTTCAGCCAGACTGTGGACCCCGTGCTGGAGAAGGAAAGGACAGACAGACAAATTGGAAGTGAACACGAGGGCTGGCAGGAGCCCGGGGTGGCAGCTGATGCTGTTGCCAAGGGGCAAGCTGGGGGAGGGGCTGTGGGGCCCCCCTGCCACATCCCTGGGTACTGCTCAGAAGGGAGGGTGGGGCTTCGGGAGCCTAATTCCAGGATGTCCAGAATATGGACTTGGAATAGTCAGAGCCTGGGGAGGGAGGAGTCCAAAGTGAAAAGAGCTGGGGAGTGGACTGAACTTCAGCTCTTCCAGCATTTTAAGCACAACTTCCCAAAAGTGATGCCATGCAAACATTTTATAATTTTGCTTGCATATATTCATTTTGATGTGAATGGAAAGGATATTGGTAAGTAGCCTGTTCCCACTGATGGAAGCCGTTAGAGTGAGATTAATGCAGTATTAAGGCAAAAAGTGACTCAGTTTAAAGAATATTAAGTCAACAAGAGTGCAGGTGGCCAGGGATGTGGCAGGAATCCTGCAGGTGTCAGGCAACAGAGATTGAGGTGTGCCCCATGACAGCCTCTAGGGCAGGTTCAGTGGCAGGCTCTGGGACAGTGGCATGGCCCCTGTGGATTGGGATCCCCCTGCCACCAGTGCAGCAGATGTGCAGGGGTGTGGGCAGAGAGCAGCCAGCTGGAACCCATCAGGACTTACTGAGGGGGCTGCTTCCACCTGTCTTGCCCGCCCCCACCCCAACTCGTCCTCTCCCGGTCTTATCCTGGCTGTCCGAGGGCCGTGGGCTGTGGCTGGTGGTGCAGGGCTGCAGGTGCATGTCCGGGGTGGGGCATGGGCCACCAACAAGCTTTGCAGGGCCCCCTTCCTTGCCCCCTTCACGGCTGCATCTGTCTCTTTCCTCCGCAGGGGGAGGGGTTGCACCAACTACGCGAGGCTTTGAAGATTTTAGCTGAGAGGGTTTTAATCTTGGAAACAATGATTGGGCTCTATGGTGAGTAGAGACAGACAGACGGACAGACAGCCCAGCCCCTACCCGCTAGCCTTCCCCAGGCCTTCCCGGGGTGGAGCTGCCTGGACCCAGTCATGAGACTGGAGAAGGTGCCTGCCCCAGGCAGGTGAGGACCTGAGAGAGCAAGGCCCCCTATCCCTCCATGGCTGGTCCCTCTTCCACAGGTGAAAAGGGGGCCCCTAGAAACCTGGGCCTACCACCTCTGTGGTCAGACCTGCGCCTCTGGGCGTTGTGGGTAATATGGTTTCCAGGCCTGCAGGGGAAGCAGAGGTAACAGTTTGGAAGAGTTTGGAAGAACTTCGGGGCAGTGGGGCCAAACTCCAGACCACCAGGGGATTGTGGGAAACAGAGCTAGACTGCAGCAGAGCAGGGGATCGTGGATAATGAAGTCAGGCTTCATTCAGCTCTACAGAAGTTGCAGGTAACAGAGCCAGTCTCCAAGCTCACAGGACAATAGGTTACGGAGCTAGACTCTGGAAGTTCAAGGGACTGTGGATGATGAAGCCAGGCTCAGGCCGCTCCAGTGCCGACCTCCCCTCCCCCAAAAGCCCTAGGAGGCTCTCACAGGGCAGGCCTTCTTTGGCCCCAAGTATCTCCCTTACAGTTGCACTTCCCCCTCTGGTCCTCATAACCCATCCTGCAGGTCCCTTCAGGGGCCAGAGAGAGCCAGACCCCCACCCCAGGCATTTACCCAACACTTTCACCATCATCTGATCACTTGAGGAGCCAGGCAAGCCCCCTCCCCACTTAGAAGGGGAGACCAAGGTCTCAAGAGAGACTCACATCCAGGCAGGCTCCTGCCTCGAAGCCGGCCGGTGGCTGCCCCTACACCCCACCCTCGGCTCTCCGGCCCAGCCCTTGGAGGCCGGACTCGCACCGTCTTGCTCTTCTTGATCTCCCATCAGGCTCCTAGCTTACAGAGCTTCCTGCAGCAGCAGGCTCAGCTGGAGCTCCTGGCCAGACGAGTCACCCTGCTGGAAGCCATCATCTGGCCAGGTAATGGCAGGGCGGGCAGATAGGGGCGGCCCCTTCCAGAAAGAGCCTAGGGACACAAGTCACCTCCCACCAGTGGACCCAGGCCAGCAGACACTCCTTCTCTAATTCTTCCAGCCGACCAGTAGACGGTGTCTGACACTTTGCTGGCAGGGACAGGCTCCCAGATAAGACAGACATAGTCCTGTTCTTGTGGAGTGTAGGGTGCAGGGATGCCGGGGTTGCCCTGGAACTGTTAAACCGAGGGTGAGGAATACCATGGTGGAGTGAGTGCTATGACAACACAGAAGTGCCTCTGACCCAGGCTGGGCATCTCAGGGAGGGCTTCCTGGAGGAGGTATCATCTATATGGACCTGGAGGGCAAGGATCAGTATGAATAAACAGGCAGAGGAACAGCATGAGCAAAAGCCAAGAAGCTTGACTGTTCTATGAGGCTGCTAAAGAGTGACAGCTGAGGATAGAGAATCTGGCAGGGCCCAGTTTGAGAAGGCTCTTAAAGGGAAGTAGAAGGCATGGAAGGAGCTTAGACACCAAGTGGACTGCACCCTTCCTTGTGCCTGGCTTTTCATGGTGGGGCTAAGGAAGGCTCTCCCCATTAAACCAGAGCCTGTGGGTGGCCCTGGAGAGAGGCAGGGATTGACCACCCTCCAGGCTGAGCTCTGGTCCTCTTCTACCGGCTAAGAGGCCCTGTGGCCATCCTTCTCCCCACTCCAGTGGCCCCATCTCACAGCCCAATCCTAGTAAACTAGTCCACAAAGGCCTTGGACATCATGTCCAACTTTGCGTCTATTTTACATTTGGGGAAACTGAGTCCTCAAGCAGGAAGGAGGGCCAGGATGACAGCCAAGCCTCTTTCATTCAGCAAAACTGTAGGGTATGCCCCTACTGAGTGCCAAGTCAGGGCAGATGCTCTGGGCCCATCAAGCAATAGGGTGCCCTCAGTGTCTACAGAGATGAGGGCCATGGGATACAGGAGCACCAAAGGATGTGAGTGAGTGGCAATCACTTCCGGCTGTGGGGTGGAGAAGTCTTCTTGTGAGAGGGGACACCTGCATTGGGTCACGGAAGAGCCCTACGAGTGTGAGAGCAAGAAGATAGAAAGACAAAGGGACAAAGGCCTGCAGGCTGGAAGGGGCATGTAGTCTGCTTCCAAAGCTCTCCCCACCTTGCCTCAGGGCTTCTCTAGCTTTTAGAAACATCAGCGACCATCTCCCAGACTTCCGCTCCCTTTAACAGTTTAGGGCCCAAGGACCAAATCCCAGGCTTTTTCAGGTGCCCCCCACCTCCTGTCAGTATTGGGAGAGAAGCCAGAAGGGACACATTGTAGCCCTTGGTCTGTACCCCACCTCCACTTTGGTCACCTCTGTGTCCAGCAGCCCAGGGAGAGAGTGCCGGTCACCTAAGAAGGGCTACGCCCACTCACTGTGGCCACAATCCCAGCTGGGTGACCCCAGGAGCCAGCTTGCATTGTGGCCCTAGAAGGGAGGTGAGAGGAGAGCAAAGAAGGAACTTTCCCCATCATCCCATCATACACAGCAGGAGCCTATCTAAAGACCCAGATTGGGCTTATGTTTAGGTTATAAGCAATAATGAAGAGATAGTATCAGCTGTCACACATCCTGGCCACCGGGCTAGGAGATTCACACTCAGCCCCCTCCCCCTTTTTTTTAAGATTTTATTTATTTATCCATTCATGAGAGACACACAGAGAGAGGCAGAGACACAGGCAGAGGGAGAAGCAGGCTCCATGCGGGGAGCCCGTTGTGGGACTCGATCCCGGGACTCCAGGATCACACCCTGGGCCGAAGGCAGGCGCCAAACCACTGAGCCACCCAAGGATCCCCACACACCCAGCCCTTTTAACAGGACTGCTAGGTGAATGCTCATTTCACAGATGAAGAAACAGAAGTGCAAAGAACTCACACGATCTCAGAGTCATAGCGAGAGCAGTGGGGAGGCCTGGGATCCACCATAGGTCTGTCCTCTAAAGCACTGGCTCTTGTTGCTCCATCAACAAAAGTTTACTGACACCTCTGCTCTACCAGGCACTGAGGAGGGCCCTGGGGAAACCAGGGGCCCAGAATATGATTGTGTCTGAATAGCATCTCATGACCAACTCACAGTGCAGGCCTGCAGGAGACCTGGGTCAGAATCACACTTAGTGTCCATAATAATCCAGCATTTACTGTGAAAACCACTTTGCACTCCTGGTCACCTTAAATATTTAACCACAATGGTTCCCCTGTTCCGGATGAGACTTGAAGATTCTGTGACTTGCCCAAAACCACATAATTGGTACATGGGGGGGGGGGGGCCAGGAGTTGGCCCTAGGGGATGTGGGAGCCTGAGTTCCATGCCCCTCTCCTCCTGAAGAGGCATGGGATCTGCTTGACTGTGACCACACACACCTGTCTGACCCAGGGGCCTCAAATTTCAGACCAGAGGTGTATGGGAGGCTGGGGCACACAAGGTCAGAGTGCTAGACAGCTGTGATTATGAGGGTGTAGCCCACTACCCTGGCAGTGCCCCAATGGGAAGCTGGTGCTCACCAGAGTCCAAGTGTCTCTCCCTTTGAACAGCATTTTGGAGGCTCAGCCAAGTTCCCCATCCTAGGGCTCTACTCTTTGAGTGTTCCTCTCAATAAATAGCCCATTCTGACCTACCTGAACTACTTATTAAAGTTAGAGAGGGACTGAAAGTTGGGAGAAGACTTCTTGGAGGAGTTAGGCCTCATTTGAGTGTTGAAGGATGAGTAGGAGTTTTCTAGGTGGCAAGAATGCCAATTATTCAGTTTCACTCTTGCAGGACAACCCGTTTCCAGGTTGGGGCATGTTTCACCATAGCCATATTAGAACTAATTTTAATTATTGGAGTTGGCCAGGACTTCAGAGTATATCTGGAACTATCCCTCCTGGTTTTAGAGATGAAGCAACTGATTCCCTGACAGAGATTAGACTTACCCAAAGCTGTACAGTAGGTGTAGAGCCTGGCTTTCCTCAACTCCTCTCCACCACAGGTGCCCTAACCCAAGGAGAGGGGAAAGTCAGTCTATTCCCTGACCTTAGCTTACCCAGCTGTGAAAGGGGGAGGATTCAGGGCACATCTCTAGCCCCTGAAAAAGAACTATACTTTTATGGAGCATTCACTACCTGCCAAGCATTTCAGAAAGATGGCAGGTTCATTTATCCTCACTTGACAGAGAAAATCAAATCAAATAGAGGCCCTGAGTGCTCTCATGGGGGTGGGGAGCTGATAACTCCAGGCGGGGAAGGGGAGGCACTAACCAGCTTGTAAACAGCCTTCTTTCTCACAGCTCTGCCTCCCAGATGCCAGGGCACAATGCACCTGGCAGCGTATCCAGCGCCCCAGCCCGGAGGGCTGAAGGGAGATAGGCACCTCACACAAACCTCACTAACCCTGACTTTCTCCTTCCCTCCGGCAGAACCAGAGGGGTCGGGGGCAGGCCCTGCCGGCACGGGCACTCCCAGCCTCCTGCGGGGCAAGAGGGGAGGACACGCAGCCAACTACCGGATCGTGGCCCCCAGGAGCCGCAACGAGAGAGGCTGAGGGTGGGGGCGGCCCTAGGGGCAGACCAGGCCAGGCTTCCCTTCCCAGCCTGGACTTGGCCAACTGCCTCCAGGGACCGCCCATCGGTATTTATTAATGTCCTCAGGGTCCCTTCTGCCCCTAGGCCTTTGGGATGGGCAAGTCTTGGTCCTGACTCACCCTGTAAGCCGAATAGGAAACTGAGAAAGCACAGTAGCCTGAGAGGGAGGGGCAGGCAAGAGGTGAGGCCTTGCTCAGGGCCCTGGGCCTCCATCTCCCTCTGTGAACTAGGATGCTGCAGGCCTGCAGAGAAGGGGTGGTTGGTTCGAGTCTTATCAGCTGCCCAATCCTCGGGGCCTGTAGGCGCTGAAGGGACCCAGGAGCTGGGGCTCTGCTGGGCCCTTGGCACATGCAGGGCTGATGGGGAAGGGCTCACCTCCCCCTCCTCCCCAAGCAAACCTTGGGGAGCCCAACACACTCCTCCTCTCCTTGATTACTGGTGCTGGGTCCCCACCCTGAGCTCAATAGGCAGGACGCAGGGATTCCTTGCATAGGTCCTGCCCCAGAAGCCCCCAGCCCCTCCCATGTCCCATGTGGGGGTGGGGGCATGGAGAGGGAGGGGCCCCCTGGAGGTAGACATCTCCAGCCAATAAAGGCCCCCAGTCTAATGTCCCCTTGGTGTGTCTCACTGTGTGCATAGATGGGGTGTGGCTGGGCAGGGCCAGGAGCCCTGCCCATGCACAACGCAGAGCTGTGAGGTGAGCCCTTGTGGGGCTGAGGGGGCAGGGGAGCAGGGCAGAGGGGCAGGCTGCCCCCACCCCCTGGCCAGGTGCCCAGCAGTGGTGGCAGCTTCTGAGAGGCCTGGGGAGCAAGGGGCTGCCAGGCCTTGGTGCAGCCCCCAGACTGGGTGACCGGCAGCCTCCCAGTCTCAGCTTCCTCACCCATAAGGGGAGGGTGTGGCCTTCAGGCTGCTGGGTCTGCTTCCGGTCTGTTTCCGGTCTCTGCAACCTCTCCCCTCTGGCTCCAGCCTGGGGTAGGGCCCCCTGACGTGGATTAGTACGCAGGCTGCTCCAGGACACACAGTTCCCCGCACCACTGCCCAAAGTCCAGCTTCCCAAGCACCCCTCGGCCCTCATCTCTCCCCACTGCCCATCGGCATCTCAGGCCCATGCTCCACCTTCTGCCCTCTGGCTCCTGAGACCAGGGCAAGGGCTGAGGGGGCACCAGGAGGGAGGAGCTGCCTCTTCAAAGCTGCAGAAGCTTCTCCCCCATGGCACCCCCACATTGCTTCCTGAGCAGGGGGCCCAGCAGGACACAGGCACCAGCCATGGAGCCTCCCAGGCCTGAAGAGATGGATGAACCGGCCCCCAGTCCAGCAGGGGCACTGGGGGATATTCCTAGGGGACAGGGAAAGTCTCCTGGAGGCGGGTCTTCGTGGAGGTGGAGACCTAAGACTAGGGAGAAACTAGCCGGGAAAGGAGCCATGGAGAATGCTCCTTGGCAGGGGGTCCAGCCCAGCACAAGGTCCTCTGCTCCAAGGTGGAGGACATGGCTTCCTGCACAGTTCAAAGACAGTAACGCTGTCTCTGCACATCAAGGGGCTGTTCTATAATGCATCATTCCTTCGCTGCTAATTCATTTATTCATCTCCCCTGTTCCCAACACAGAAGAGTCAGACACAACTGCTATCCCCAAAGAGGTCCAGGTTGAAAAATGAACTGGTTTTTATTCTAAGCAGTACCAGGGTGTGGTGCTGGAGGGGCATCTCCTGTACCCCACTATGATTCTAAGCAGACAGGCCAGGGCTCTGGTCACTTGAGGGCCTGCATGTGCTAGGGGGGACCAGGACCCTCAGGGTGAGCAGGCCCGCCCCTCCCCTGAGTCACCAGGGCCTCAGGGCCTACCTCCCCGCCAACCAGCAGTGACACAGCACCCTCCACTCGGCCTGTGGCAGCCAGTGCCACCACTGCCTGCTCTGTCGGGAAGCCCATGCGCTCCAGCTGCTGCAGCCTGTGGAATGGGGAGAGGGGAACAGGGAGGGAACGTCAGGGCCACCTCCAGCCCCTGTACCAGGGGACCCACCCCTGCCCACCTGCCTTACCGCAGAGAGGAGACGGAGGACTTAGGCAGCCATAGTGGGCTCTCAGGACACTGGGCTGGCCCCTCAAGGAGTGAGGCCTGGATCCCCTCCTGCAGCATTTGCTCATCCAGGGCTGCCCACAGCGGGGTTCCGGGGGGAAGCTGGGCCTGGCCCAGGCTATGCCCACCTCTGAGGAGCCCTCCCAGGTCTGCTGCACAGACCCCAGGCCTGGTGGGAGCTGGGCCGAGACTTCACTGCGGGACCAGAGGCTAGGGGAGGCCATGTAAGGAGGTCCAGGGGTGGGAGGCCTGGAGGAGCAGAAGCAGAAGAGGGCCTGACTGCCAGCCACTGCCACAGCTTCCACCAGCAGGACCAGTGTCTTCAGCATCGCGCTCACCTCGCTGCAGCAGGATGGATGACCGGCAGCTCGGCCAGGCTGCCTGGGGTAGGAAGGAGTCTGAATGGCCAGCACCCTGCCAGGGCTCTGCACAAGGCACCCTCCTGCAGCGCTTGCAGCCGCCTCTCAGAGAGCTCCAGCCACTGGAACGCCCCGGCTGCATCTGTCTGCCCAGGGCAGGGCGGCTGGTCAAGGAAAACCAAAACGAGCCAGGGGTGAGCCCACATGGCCCACTGGGCCCTGAGCCAAGTGTGTGACAGGCATTCCCTCATGTCTCCCCACTACGGCCTGGCAAGGGAGTCTCCTCACCCTAGTCGGCTCTGGCTCTCGGGCAAGGTGGAAGCCCTTAGAAAGGGGACCTGCCAGTAAGAGGTAGAGCCAGTGTGTCTCCCCACAAAAGCGGTCTCCTCCCATTTCAGCCACCCCCTGCCTGCTCTGTTCCGAGAGCCCTGTGAGACTGCTCAGGTCTGATTCAAGGCCCGCCCTTGGGCCCACTGACACCCTCCCCATTGCCCTCGGTCAGGGCAACATACTCCCTGCTCCAGGATCCAGCCAGGCCTGGGCAGCTAGTGTCTCCAGGCCTAAAAAATCATGGTCGGGGGACCAGCCTGTGCCTACTGTTCCCTCCAAAGGCACGGTTTTCCCCAACTGGCATTAAGCATCTTGAGAGCAAAAGCCTGTGTTTAATGCACCTGCACCACCAGCCCCTAGTATTCCCCCTTTCAGTGCTGAGCCCCAGGCTCACTCTCACCCTGGCCTTGCACTTCCTATACCCTCTGTCCAGCCTGCTCTTTTTCACTTCTCTTCCCCTGAACCCCTCATCCTGCACATCTTAGCTCAGGTGCCACCTCCACTGGGGAGGGCCGGATTGGGCAGCTCCTTGGGCCACCTCAGCCCTCCTGGGCTCCCCTTTAAACTGTAGTTGGCATCTCTACCTGGCTGTTGGCCCTGAGCCCCCCTGCCCAGAGCCAGCTAGAGGAGAACTCAGATGCTCTGGGAATTTGTTTGTGCAGCTCTTCCCGGCACTGTTGGGCCTGACCCCCTTGTGCCACTTCCCTCCCAGGCACCCTGGGGGCCCAGCCACAGAACCCACGTGTCCACACGGGCCCAAGCCCAGGCAAAGGATACAGGCCAGGCCAGCAAGAAGGCCACAGAATAGCTGCAGGAAGGGTGGCTCAGAGCTGAGCAGTGGTGTCAAGGCAAGCAGCAGCCATGGCAGCAGCCACGGTGGCAATATCCCCAGGGGCTGTCTAGGGTGGTAACCCTGCCCTGCCAGCATGGCCAGGTGGACAGGCATGTAGCCGCAGCCACCAGCTGCGCTGGACACCCCAAGGCCTGCCAGCAGCACACCCATGAGCCCAGCAGCCAGGGCGAGCAGGGCAGAGGCATGCAGGAACCGCAGCGTGCCCAGGTGGCACTCCTGCCACCAGCCCAATGTGGGCAGAAGCAGCAGACTCAGGAGCAGGCCAGGTAGGGCTGTGTGGCCCAGGGCATGGGTCAGCAGCCGGTGTGCTGGGAGAGAGAAGGAGCTTATGTGCCAGGTTAGTGGCCCTAACCCCCAAGGCTGTCCCAGGTTGGTAATCACCCTCTGGGGGACACCAGCTAACCTAGCCTCCTCTCCCCAGGAGCCAAAGTCTGCCCACTGCCAGCACTTTAATCACTCATGAAGGGGACCAAGGGGTTCTAAATGCTGTGGCTGCTCCCCTGCTATGTTAACCAGAAAGTGCTGGACCCACCACTCCGGGCCTCTCAAGAGCAACCCAACATCTTGGTGGGAAACAGGCACTCAGCTGGAGTCACTCCTTAAACTCCCAGGACCTCCTCCACATTCTCCTACTAAGTTGAAAACCTTAGTTCTTATTTTAAGGGAAAGCCACCAAAAAGGGAAGCCACCTGAAAAAAAAATTCCTACTTACAGGCCCCCACCCCTCTGCTGGCCCCTGGGCCTGGATGCTCTGCCCTCCCTTCTTGGTTGCAGATGAGCTGGGCATGCTCCTGTCCAAGGCTAACCTTCCCCCAGGCACTGGGTCCTCTCCCTGCTTGACCAGTGCAGGATGCATGGCACTCCTGCGAACTGTTCTCAGGCCCTAGAGCATGTCTCCTGCCTCCTCTGAGGCCCGTGGGGCTGGCCCTCACCCTGCCAAGGGTCCAGCAGCAGCTCCGGGGCCAGGGCAAGGCTGGGGCCAGCTCCCACCAGCCATAGGCTGCTCAGCAGCAGCATCAGGACAGAGGAGGCAAGGGGTAGCACTGGGGATGGTAAGCCAGGGGGGCCTCGGGCACGCATAGTGAGGCTGAAGGTGTCAAAAGTGGTCTTGAGGCTGTGTGCTAGGGGTGAAAGAAAACAATAACAACGGTTATGACTGCAATTTTTATCCAACTTCCTTTCAACTACCCTCCCGATGGCCCCATTTTACAGAAGTAGAGACTGAAGCTGGAAAGGCAGGCCCAGCAACTTGACCACAGAGGAGCTCAGATCCTAACCACGCATTTAACGATCTTGCCCTCCCCTCTGCCTGTGTGTGAAGATGGGGAGGGGCTGAGCCAAAAGGGCTCTGAAGAAGAGCCTAGAGTGGGAGGCACAAGGCCAGAGAAGTTGAACTGGGGTTCTGGATTTCCTAAAAAAGGGTACAGCCCCCCAGGGCAAACTCAGGGCCATCTCCGGCTTTCCTCTGCCTCCCTTTTTCCTTGGGCTGCAGACCAGCCACCTTTGTGTTTCCTCCCCTCCACTGTGCCCTGCCTAGAGCTCTAAGTTTCCCTTGCTGGAGGGGTGAGGCCAGCCAATGGGCAGGCAGATTAGGAAGGGGGTGAGGCAGAAGGGCTGGAGAAGAGGCAGGAATTCCACACTCTGAGTGCATACAAAGTGACACTGGAGGGAGTCATCCCCTTCTTCCAGCTTTGAGCACAGCTCCTCTGGCCCTAAACCCCCCTTTTCACAAGAAGGTTCCAGCATCCCCTCCACTTCTTCCTGCTGTGCATCCTTGGACAAGTTTTCCTTCCTCTGAGCCTCTCCTTCCTCATCTGTAAAATAAGAATTAAGAAAATCCTTTCCTTGTAGGATGAGAAAAAGGAATGGACTAAGGCAGGGCCCTGCCCACAGATCCTGCTCAATAAACTGTAGCCTGCCATCCCAGCCAATTGCGGGAGACAGAGGTAGCCACCAGCTAGCCCAGCCGGAGGGGGGCCTCAGCATGGAAGCAGCTGCTCCAGTCTAGCTGGTTCAGGCTCTGACCCACAAGGCACAGGACTTGCTGAAACCCCCTCAGCCCTGGCTAGGCCTGTGTCAAGATTGCTAGTGAGCTGATTTCATGAGGCAAGAAGCAAAATCCCAGAGAGACCAAACTGTTTCATTTGCTCCCTTGCCAAGGGCCACCTCAGCATCAAAATCCACCTGTAGGTTTCCTGTTTCCTGCCAGGAAAATGTAGAAAGCTCCTCTGCCTGCAACATTCCTCCCTCCATCTCTCCAATAGGCAAACTCCTACTCACCCCCTTGAAGCCCAGTTCAAATGTCCCCATCTCCTGCTTCATGGATCTTATCCTATCTAGTAAAGCACAGCTTGGCCTGTCTTTCTTCCTGGACCAGTGGTCTGAGCAGGGGGCAGGTGGGAGTGCCCTCCTCTTACGCATCCCCAAGTTCTCCATATGCGTTCACGGAAAGAGAGACTCTAGCTTGGCTCCAGGTCCCGCGGAAAGATTTGGGTGAGCCCTGCCCTTCCTTGGGCCTGGGCACCTGCCTGAGGTGACTAGATTGAGTCCAGGAAGGCAGACAGGTGCCAGCCTTGCCTCGAGCCAAGACACCGACTGCAAGTCTCCTCTTGCAACCTCACAGCCACCTGCCCACTCACACTTTACAAAGGCGAAGGACTTGCCCACGGACAAACAGAACTGGAACCCTCTGGGGCTCAGGCTCTTCATCGATAAAATGGGGCTGTGCACCATCTGGCCCTGCCTACCTTACTGGGAAGCTCGGAGGACAGAATGGGAAGGATGGGAAAGATTCTTCCGAGTGCTAGAGAGAGTGGGGGTCCTGGGGTGTGGGTAGAACTCAGCTTTGTGACTTTAGTAAAAGTACCCAAATTCCCTGGGTTTTCAGTTTCCCCTTCTGTAAAAATATGGGTATTGGATGGGGGATTAAGATTAAAGGGCCTTCTCAATCTTGACCGTTACGGGGGGGGGGGGCTCAGGATCGGGTGCTGCGTTCCGGGCCTCCCATCCAGCCCACCCGCCTCGGCCCCTCCCCCTCCCCCTCCCCCTCCCCCTCCGGCCCAGGCCACGTGTCCGGGGTACTCACTGCAGAGCGCGCCCCCGGCCCCCGGAAGGCCGGGCGGGGCCCCTGGCTGGGAGTCGGGACTCCAGCTTCCCGGCGAGGCCAGAGAGCCCCGAGCCCATTCTGCCTGAACTCGAGCGCGTGACCCCGGCCGAGCCAGCGCGCCACCCCCTCCCCCGCCGCCCGCCGATTAGTCAGCAGTTGTTCTAGGCCCGGGTCCCTTCCCCCAGCCCTCCCGCCGGCCTCCGTGTCCCTCCAAGGCAGACTCTTCAGAGACGGTCCCTAGAGCCAGCGGACGAAACCATTTCGAAGAGCTTAGCCTCGTGCGGAGAATCTTTCCGGCTTGATACCAAGACCCGCTCACCCGCCGCTCCGGACCCTTCGGTGCTATTTCGGCCCACACGTCAAGTCCAGCGCCCTTTAGAGAGCACTGGGACAGGAGTTGAGGGCGGGAAGGACGAGAAAACTGTGGTTCATCCCTCTTTCTCTCACCCCCGTGGCCTGGCCCGATGGTAGCGCCCGAGGTTGCGGGTTTCGCGCCTGCGCAGTGCGGCGCCTAGAGGGAAAGCGAGAGGGAGACGGACGTTGAAAGAACGAGAGGGAAGGAGAGAAAATGGCGTCCACGGGTGAGTGTGGGGGAACAGTGGTCGCGCCGGCGACGGCCGGGACACCCAAATCTGGGGCTGCTCGTCTCTAGGGGTGGTCGGGACGACTGAGTGGAGCTGCCGAGGGGGTGTGAGGTACCCGCCGCGGCCCGACGAGCTCGAGGGCCCGCGTTCTTCTCCCCTCCCCCCACCGGGAAGGCCGGTTCTGGAACCTTCCGGCGCCCCCGGCGCGCGAGGTGCATGCGGCGGCGGGGGCGCGCGGGGCCTGCCGCGGTCTCCATTGTGTGGCGGCCGTCTGGCCTCGCGCTCCGGGCCGCCCGCCACGTGGGCGGGGCCTGCGGCCTCCGGGGCCCCGCGTGGGGGCTGGGGGAGGGCTCGGCAAGGCCTCGAGCGCGGCACCCCTAAACCGGAGGCGGTGGCGGCGGGGGGTGGGGGGGGTCGACGGCTGCTCGAGGAGCCGCGGCAACGCGCTTCTCTGACTCTCCCCCTCCCCCATTGCCAGGGATGCGGCCCGAGCCGGAGGGCGACTCTGCTTCGCAGAGAAGCCCAGGGGAAAAAAAGCAAATAAAAAAGGAATCGTGGGTTTGTGAGCCGAGGGGTGCCGACCTATGAGCGGGCGCCCCGTAATGGCCTGGTCGGCTGGGGCGTCCGGCGCGGCCGAGCTGCCCTCTCGGCGTCTTCCAGCCCCAAACCGAACTTCTGCCCTACTGGGCTTTGGGTGGAATGTGCTTCCCCCTTCAGAGCACCGCCCCCCGGGCCGCTTCGGTTCTACTCTTACTAAGGCCCCCTCCTTTACTCCCCAAAAAGCAATTAAGTGGCTTCCCAGGGCCATTTTTAAGCAAACGCTGAGGTAAATCCGTTGTATAATAAGACCAACCCGGATCGCGAGGCCAGAAATCCCCGCCGAAAGAAAATTCTGGCCTCTTAGACCTAGGAGAAACAAAAGGCCCGAGTCGGCATTTGAATTATGCTTAAGCCATCGCCTCGCAAGTTTATTCGCCCAGGTTAGGCCTGCAGGCTTGTTTATTTCGTGGACTGAAGGACGAGGGAAAGGAGACCCATGCTGGACTTTGAAAGAAAGCTCGGGGTGGGAGCTCGAATGTGGCAATCTAGGGTGGTCAGGGATGCGTGGGTTGTTTAATCTTGTAACCTAAACGTCACCTGCAGTTGGCGGCCTGTTTGTGCACTAACCTGCGGTTATTGGTAGGGTGGGGCATTTTTGCCTCTAGGGGGGTGTTCTTAGGCCTTCTGACACCAGGCCTGCGTGCGGTGGGAGAAGTCGAGGGAAGACCCGAAAAGCTCTGGGTCCTTGTGCGATGCAGTTTGAAACGGGCCCAGAATCCAGCAACTTACAATTTAAGCCTTACCGAGCTGTGTGATCAGTAAACGGCAGGTCAATGCTGGCTGTTAGTGCCAGGGTTCAGAGTGCCGCAGGAAGAGGACTCTGAAATACCACAGTCCAAGACACATCCTGGTGGGAAGTGGTTTCCGCAGAGCTCTTTCCACCTTCCTCTTCCTTGCAGTGTTTGAATTTATAAGGGAGAGTGCTACTCTCTGTTCCCTGTTGAATGGTGGGGAGTCTAAATGTGTATGGTGAAATTTTTGCGTGGCTGGACATGCCAGTTTCTTGGTTTACTTTGCCCAAGCTGTTTATTGGAAATCTCCACGTACTGTATTAGGATTACAGTTGTGTTTTATGTAGACCCACAGTAGTCGGCCAGCTGGAGGATCTTTGGGAAATCACATACTTTGGTTTCCTTTCCTTCAAAATGAAAGCATGAGGCTAGACCTTTCAAGAGCTTTTAAGCCCTTAACTTCTTGACCTTGTAGCAAAGCATTTGGTTCCCACAAATTGCCCCATACTACTCTAATTCCCTACATAGCCTGAAGCTCTAAATCTCTACTTTTTGGATAGTGAGAACTATAAAGTATCTCAAAGCCACACTTTGGGTAATGTTAGATGCTTCTCGTGTACAGTAAGTATAGAGGAGTAGAGTCTATGTTTAGTTTAACAAAGAAATACAATGCAAACTCCCAAGTAACCGCCAAGAAAGAGAACCTTGCCAACACTTTAGCGGCCCTCTGGATTACGGCTCCCTTTTCTCAACTTGTCCTATATTTTTAGTAAAGTATTCAGCTGCATGTTTTGGGGGTTAAAAACAAAGCATGACTGACTGCTTAAAAGAATAAAATCTGACCATTGTGTAACTAACATTTTTGAGTCCCTACAATGTTTGTGAGTTGTAGGTAGGTAACATGAGTTCTCAAACAAATTTGCTACCTCCCTTAGTCCACCAGTGTGGGACTAGATGGGCTGGTTTCACACTGATCTGAGATCATTCCTTGTTCCATATCAGCTTTGCCAGTTTTCTGTTTTACATAACTGTTCTTGTGTAAAAGTCCTTTTGCAAAGTTGAACTTCCATGTCAGCAATTTAGAATCATTTCTAACATGAGACACCTCAGCGAAATGTAGGTTGAAATATTTTGATGCTTCATTTGTTTTGTTAATGCCACATGGAAGAAGTGATTTGCATTTACTTTCATGCACTACATAGAAAGCATGACTTGTAGTGCTATGGAAAATGCCTTAAGGTTTAACCTTAAAATGCCTTAAGATTGTTTTGAATAAATTAATGTGTTTATTATACATGGGCAGTTGATTTGATAATATTGATGAATCAGGATTCTGATTTTAAGGGTGTACAGAAGAAGGAAAGTAGTTAAGGTAGAGAGTAGAAAGGTGAGCTTACTTAAAAAATGGATTCAGAAAAAAAAAAATCTGGTCAGGTGGACTGTGAGGCAGTCTTTGGATAAAGTGGGGGTAGAAACCCCTCCGTGGAGACCTAGAAGTCCATTGTTGCTTTCAAATGAGGGGCTACTTTCTGATTGAAAAAGAAAGGACCCTTTTGTTCAGTGCTAATGGCAGTACTGCCTTCTAACATGGGATAAGATACAGATTTCTTGTGGAGAGCAAAGCATTGGGCAGATTTTTTTGAAATGACTTTTTAAAAAATATATGTTTAGTTCAGTGGTGCTGTGAAAACTTAACCATTTTATTTCCTCTTTGTTTTCACTACTTGTAGACACCTCAGTGAACTAGAGTTTTCAGTCCTTTTATGCATGTTTTACATTTCATATGAAAAGAGAAATTACAGGAAATATTATATAGAAAGAGAAGAGACTGGAAGAAAAGTTGTGGGGTTTTGTTTTTGAGTTGAAGTTATTTTGAGTTTCTAAAAGATGATACCTAAAAGCAAATTACTCCCAAAAAGACTACATGCTTTCTTCTCTGCCAGTTATCAAGATTTCTTAACCCTGCCAGTTATCAAGATTTCTTAACCCATGTCTAGCTTTGATTTATTGTAAAGATGTAGTCCTGATACAGTCAGGAAGTTCTTAAAATACTGGATTGGGAAGACTCTCCTTTTTTGTCATTCCATGTCACCGCCCTGCTAAGGAATTGGGATGGTTTTCAAAATGCTAAAATGCGGGAGTGATAGAAAAACTAGTTTGGGGGGAGATGTAGATACTAATGTAATCAGTGTGATGTTAAGCATTATAATATTGTGACATGCTTCGTTTTTAGATGAAAGTAAAACTTTTGATCCTGTTGGTTCATCTTGTTTTTTCTCTTAGTCTTAGGATGATGATCATGTATTTGAAATGACAGCCTGCAGTTGGGGTGGGAGGGAGTTGTGGTCATGGGAACCTTCGAAGTATCTGCCAAATCAGCTGATCTTGACCTCATTAGCTGGCACTATATTTCAAACTTTCTGAGTTTAACTGGCTTAGACTCATTTTTTGGTTTGGTGTTGAGAAGAGATACCCATTTGGACCTGTGTTGGCCTGTACTTCCTCTCGAAACAGTTTAAAGAATTTATTTTCCTGCACCTGAATTCCTCCCCCCCCCCCCACATCTTCTTTCTCCTTGTCTCTGCTGACTTCACATTATTTTTTCTCCTTGTTTTCTCTAGATTACAGTACCTACAGCCAAGCTGCAGCCCAGCAGGGGTAAGTTAGTCTTTTAGAACAGTACTTTGGATGTGATTGATTATAATGTTTTTAGAGTACCGAGCCTCCTGGAGTTGTAGAGGATTTCATAATGGAGTCTGAATGTTCTGTATTCAGTTTTTGCATTTAATTTCTCTTACAGCTACAGTGCATACACCGCCCAACCAACTCAAGGATATGCACAGACCACCCAGGTAATTTTTAAGATAATTATATGCAGTTACATCCCTAAACAAAATATTTGTCAGCCATCAAAACAAATAGCTAATACAGCTCTTTTTTTAAAAAATCAAGTAATAGAAAAGTATGATGTGCTGATAATCTTAAAAATACCCAGGCGTTTTAAACTTTGACAGTAGGGTTACCATTATAAATGACCCCATCCCCAAACTGGGACTTGCTAATTTTCCATACCTTTCTAGTATCATTTCTCAAGTTAAGTGCCTTGCTCAGAATTTGGTCTTTCTGCATATTGTATTAGGTTTAATAATTATTAAATTATTTAGTTTTGCAGTGGTTCTGCAAAAGGATGTGTTATTAGGACATTTTGCAGATAAAAAATTGCAGTGCATAGATAGA